CAGGTGAGGGGGTGCAGGGGGCCATGAGCGCAGGTGAGGGGGCACGGGGTCAGGAGTGCAGGTGAGGGGGCGCAGGGGGCCATGAGCGCAGGACACAGGAGGGTGGGGAAACGGGTGTCCAGGGTGCCCCAGGCTCAGGGAGAGTGGCCTCGTGAGCCCAGTGGGGCTGCCCTGTCTGCACCTGCAGCCCTCAAGCCCCCATCCCCCACAGAGGGCAACCTGCACAACCCCGCCCTGTTCGAGGGCCGCAGCCCTGCCGTGTGGGAGCTGGCCGAGGAGTACCTGGAGCTGGTGCGGCAGCACCCCTGCCCCCTGTCCTACGTCCGCGCCCACCTCTTCAAGCTGTGGCACCACACGTGAGTTGGGGGGGGCCCCCGCACCCAGGCTGGCGCTGCCGCCTGAGACCCCTGAGGCGTGTGGGATGACCCACCATAAGGCCACACTGCGGAGGTGGCCCTGTGCATCCTGAGGGGCTCAGGGGACTGGCAAAGGCGAGCCAGGTGGGTATAGCTTGGGGAGGGGGCGAGGGAGGGAGAGATGCAGTCGTGTGTCCGGTGGGGCAGGCGGCGCAGGGGCCCCGGTGACGGGCGTCTGTCCCAGGCTGCAGGTGCATCAGCAGCTCCGTGAGGAGCTCGCCAAAGCGAAGACGCTGGAGGACGTGGGCGAAGTGAGCCAGGCGCTAAGGCTGCAGTGTCAGGCATGTGCCGGCGGGCATGGCGGGGCACCGCGGGGCAGGGCGGGGGCTCAGGCCGTGACCGATGACCGAGGGGCCTCTGGGCTCTTACAGGAGGACATGTCCAGGCAGAAGGAGGGGGAGAAGCCCTCGGGCGGTCTGCCGTTCTTCCACTGGATCTGCCAGCCCTACGTCCGGCCGGGGTGAGCCCTTCGCCAGTGCGGGCCGTGGGGGAGTTGGGCTGTGCCGCTCCTGAGCCTGGCCAGCACCCTCCCTGGTTGTTAAGATCCGTCCCTGTTCCCAGAGAAACGTGAAGCAAGGAACGGCAGGCACGGCCACTGCCGCCAGCCCCGCAGCGGGAGCCCAGCTCAGCTCCTGGCCCTGGTGGTGCCGTGGCTTGGCTCAGCCACGCCAGGTGCTGAGTCGCCCTCACCCCATGTGGGGACTTGTAGGTTTGGGTCATTTCTTCCCCGAGACACTGCTCTAGACTCTGATCCAGGTGGCTGGGGCCTTGGGGGTCAGAAGGATGACCCCTCAGCTTCCTTCCTCCCTCGAGTGCGGGGCCGTGCTCTGTGGCTGCGGCCCTGCTTGGGCGCGGCCTTCAGCTGCCCTGCGGGCTGACCTGGGTGGGAGCACCTTGACCGCAGCTGCAGGGCCAGGCGTTCTCAGGCTCACTCAGCTCTGCCTGCACCCCTCCGTCAGGCCCAAGGAGGGGAGCAAGGAGAACAGCGGTGCTGCCGGAAGCAAGCGGGCCCTGGAGGAGGAGGACGGGGGCCGCCCCGAAGTCCTCTCCAAGAACAAACAGAAGAAGAAACTGAGGAACCCCCACAAGACCTTTGATCCCTCACTCAAGCGTAAGCCACCCTTCCAGCCTGCCGGGCCAGGCGAGGAGGTGGGCTGAGGCCAGCCTCTGAGGGGCTTCTTGTCTCAGCCTGGTCCTCTGCGTGGCCTTCACCATTTGGGACCTGTGACCCTATGCAAGCCACGCAACCTTCCTGAGCCACCTCAGCCATAAAACGGGGCTTCCACTTAGCGTGCACAAGGGTCAGAGGAGGCCGTGGAGACCCCAGGGGCACGTTTGCTGGGAGGGAGCCCAGGCCCCAGGCATGGTGGGATTGGGCACCGGCGAGGGAGGAGGTTGAGTCAGGCCCGGGAGGCGGCTTCTCTGCTCCCAGAGCCCCCGTGCGCACACTCGTCTCAGCCCTGAGCCCCTCCTCCTAGACCCTGGGTGATGGGGCCAAGGCCACTGCGGCCTGCTTCTGGCTGTTGTCCCTCAAATCAGGTGTCTACCAGCTACCAGCAGAGACTTACTGGAGAGCCCCCGCCCCCCGCCATTCACACCCCCAGCTCTTCTAGGAGGCAGCCGGGGATGGGGTGGGGGTCTGGGCTGAGCCTCTTATCTTGCTCTCTGTGATGGCTGCAGCTCTCAGGGCTGATGGACAGGGTGTCTTCTGCTGGGTTCCCATCCACCTGTCACCTCCTGCATCCTGCTGATACCCCATCCTGCCCCCACCCCTGACCCAAAGGGAAGGGCAGGCCAGGGCCGCCCTTGTCCCCTGCCCTCCCCAGAGCCTCTGGCTGCAGACGGCTCTGAGGGGCCCTCGCTGCTGAAGAGGCCCGGCCACCTGTGCTCCCCTTGTTCCACCAACAGCACTTTTGTTCTTTCCCCAGCAAAATATGCGAGGTGTGATCAGTGTGGAAACCCCAAGGTGAGCAGGTCTTTCCAGCCATTGCTGTAGGGCCTGAGGCCACAGTGGGGAGTCTCTAGTCCCACTGGGAGGCAGCAGGTGACACTCAGGCCTGGTCCCTAACTGTGGGTGGGTGCTGCTGCAGCTCAAGGCCCTGCCCCCAAGCCCAGCCCAGAACAGCCCCTCACCTTTGTCACCACCGGGAGACAAGCACCCTCTGGGCTCTGCCCTGCCATGTCCCTCCCACGCTGACCCCAGGGTATGTCCAGGCCGTGGTGCCCAGACACCAGGGCTGCTCACTGGCCCTTCTGTGTCCAGGGCAACAGGTGTGTGTTTAACCTGTGCCGGGGTTGCTGCAAGAAGAGAGCTTTCAAAGAGTCCGCGGATTGCCCAGGTGAGGGGCCCTGGTCGTCCTCAGCTGGCGGGAGGAGGTGCCAGAGGCAGGGCCAATCATAAACCCATCTCCCTCCCTCTGCTCCCCCAGGTCACAGGCTGCTGTTCAGGACCAAATTGGAGAAGTCTCTGGCCTGGAAGGGGGACCAGCCCAGGCTGCAGGAGCCACCCCCACCAGGACCTGGGGGACCGGGTGGCTTCCCCGAAATCGTGGGCAGTGCTGTGGCTTGAGGCCAGCTGGAACCTGGACAGGACTGCCACTGGGGCTTGGACACAGCCCCCCAAGCACATGCCTTTACTCAGGGATCTCCTGCTATTTAACACGGACTGGAATGTGCCAGTCCGCCCTCGGC